TTAATGAAGTTCATGTACTCAGACCAGTAATATTTGGGGTCACAAGTTTTTGCCATGGATATTTTGTGGGTCAGAAGATAAAAAGTTTGGGAACCACTGGGGTAGGGTATGGTATAACCATTCTGTTAAGATTTTTAAGTTGTCTTGGGCAACCAGGAACATTTCCYTATGTCTACCCCTGTTAGTCATAAGKTACTGATATGTTCAGTCATTAGCAGCACTGTACACATGTCCAAAAGAGCCTACTATTTTTTTTCTCCTCTTCAGCATGTGCCAACATGTTGGACAGAATTTGCATACGTCAGCATAAGTTGTGTAAAGTGTTACAGTGTGGCAGAGCCTTTGAGACACAGAATGCTACCCAGAATAGTGKTACTGCTGAGGAGGTTTCCTTTATCACAGGTGTGTTTGTGTTTTGTTTCCAGTTTCGGGAATCCTTCTTTGGATGAGCGAAGCATCCTGGCCCCACTCTATCAGTGCTGCATGTAAGTCTGGATCTCACACATCTCATTCAACACTCATCAGATTTGAGTTTTTTAGTCTCTGGCGTGTTTTCTCACAGGATTCGGGTGTCCACGTGGAACAGGTTGAACTTTCTGAAAGGAGGAGTTTTAAGTTCAGCAATGCAACAAGCTCTGGCTTTTGATCCCATCCATCCAGTCCTGATTGAAGCGCACCTCGCAGCCTTGGATCGACGTTTGTCTGGAGTCCTAACAACTGTGAAGCAGTGCATAGAAGCACAGGGCCCTGATAACACTCTGATAGAGGACAGAATGAATCTGCCACATCCTTGAATCTCAGACCTGAGGATCATAAACAGCTGTCTCTGGCCTCTGGTTCAGAACATCCAGAGTATCGACAGGAGAGACCAAAGACAAGTCTTTTGATTGGCGYTCCAAGTTCTCAAAGAGTTGGAAATGTAACACTGTTTGTAAAAACTTCCTCTCAGGACCGTTTACACAAGGACAGCTTTGTTTTTACTACTGGTTTCAATGAGACTTTCACTTTGTGCCAAACCTGCACCCAGTTGTGCTCTTCCACATCTGCAGAAGAACAATACAGCACACAGAAAAAAAACCCTGAAAATGAGCCTGGATGAAAGACACTGTGCAGACATGATKCAGAGAAACTGAAATCTTGCTTAAAATATTTGAAAATCTAAATTTATTTAAACTTAGAAAGGATTTATCCTTTGAACTGAGACTAAACCTTTGCAGGAAACTGATWGACTAATTTTCCATCTGTGTACATATTTAGGTAGTAATTTAGAATTATGAGATGACAGAATATAAATTTGTGGATTTTAATAATAATTGAACTTGAGTATGTGTGTGAATGAGAAAATGAGTGCCATATTTTACTGTACAGAAAGCTACTGAAGCCTCTGTGGGGGAGAAGCCCACCCAGTTCTTTAGTCCCAGTGGAGAGGAGACACAAATAAACACACTAGAGAATTAAATAAGTTTCACCAATTTATCTAATCTGTCCTCAGAGAAATAATACAGAGTAACGACTGGACCACTGTGTCACCAGGTCCATGAGGAAAAAGTGCCTTATTCTTCTCTGTCTAAAGCTGCGCCCCACCTCTTCAACCCCAAGGGGTTTTCTTGAAGTTTGTGCTTGAAAAAGCATGCCCAAATGTAAGTGGGTGTATCTNGAACATGAAGCAGGACACGACCAGGTAGACAGAACACAACACAATGATCCGACAATAAGACTGACACAGGACAGGGTTTAAATACACAGAAAACTAATGACTAAACAGAAAACACCTGAGGAGAAACACAAGGAGCAGCTGGGCAAGGACACACTGGGGAACATAGAAAACACTAGGAAAACTAAGGAGAATAAATACAGATCATGACAACACTATATTTCTTTTAGTTGAATTTTATATGCTTTGGTTGAGATTTTATGTTGATGTTAAATCTTTTAAGCTTTTTTTGTTAAAGAATTGACTCTAGAGTGCATATTTGGTGTCCATGAAAAAAACTATAACAGAAAATATTACAATATTAAAGAACTGTTCTTGTTAATTTGATGAAAACATTTTAAATTTCCAGAGCACTCACATCAGAATAACTAATAGATTTGTTGTTAGAATAATCGATTAATCGAAAAAATAATCCTTAGATTAATCGATTAGAAAATAGTCGTTTGGTACAGCACTAGATTTTATTAAAAACTGCTTTTAAGTCACTTTTGTAAAAAAGGCATGGTTAAAGATAATCTTTTAAATAAACTATGAAAAACAAACTACCATATTTATTCAAGTATAATACGAAAAATTAAATCCATAAAATCATCCATAAAGTCGTGGGGTAGTACTATACTGGGATAAATATTTTTGCTGATGAATTTAACTGAAATATCGGCCTGATTTACAAAATGCGTGAGTTTGGAAATGAGACCACGTAGTAAAAAGCGGTTGGATCGTGAGCTGGACCAGGCCTTCACCAGGCTTTTCTCTTTCCATCATTCTGGTAGAGCTTGATCTTGGTTTCATCTGTACAAAGAATGTTCTTCCAGAACTCTGCTGCTTTTTTACATGTTTTTTATCAAAGTCCAGCCTAGCCTTTTTATTCTTGAGTCTGCTGAGTGTCTTGCAGCGTGCAGTGAAGCCTCTGGATTTACTTTCCTGCAGTCTTGTCTTTATGGTAGATTTGGATGTTGATACTTCTACCTCCTGCAGAGGGTTGTTCACTTGGTTGGCTGTTGTGAAGGGCTTTCTGTTCACCATGGAGATTATTCTGCCATCATCCACCACTGTTGTCTTCTGTGGACACCCAGGTCTTTTTACAGACGAGTTCACCAGTGTTTTCTTTCTTTCTCAGGATGAACCAAACTGTAGGTTTTACCACTCCTAACATTGTAGAAATGTCTCAGATGTTGTTTTTACTGTTTTCACAGCTTAAGGATGTCTTGTTTCACCTGCATGGAGAGCTCCTTTGACCTCATGTTTACTTCACAGCAAAACCTTCCAAATACAAGCAGCACACCTCAGATCAAGTCCTTTTATCTGCTTCAGTGAGAATGACATAATGAAGGGATTGTCCACAACTGTCCATGAAATAGACTTGGAGTCAACGGTCCAATTCCTTTTGGTCCCTTTAAAAACAGGGTGGCACATGTTAAGGAGCTGAAACTCCTAAAGCCTTCATCCAGTTTTACTGTGGATACCCTCAAATGAAAGCTGAATGTCTGCACTTTATGTCCATGTACTTTATAGAACTATAACTTGAATATGTTTCAGTAAACAGGTAAAAAGACAACATTTGTGTCAGTGTCCAAATATATATGGACTGAACTGTAGATGTTCCATGCAGCAGAAACGTTGGTGAACGCAGATTGTTTAAAAACACTGATCTAGGGTTGGGCCTAATCGTATCGTGTGCAATTATCGTCAGAAAAACATTAATCGATTACTTTTTGGCACTTAACGATTAATACGATTAATGCCACCAGGCAGACTGACTGGGGGTTACTCTGGTCAGTCCGCTCGGTGCTCCTC